TGAAATTAAAGCAGAAAAACAACTCTGTTAACAAGTTATAAGATCACTGAAAAATTACAAGGGCAAGAAACTACAGAGAAAACCATCCCTTTAAAATTTACCATAATAACTTACAGAACCAAAAGGAAGACTGAAATATGTTTCACCATCCTATGTACTCAATCAGTTTACAGACATAATTTCCAAGCAGCAGTTTATCAGTTTGGGTACTCATCTGACAAAGTCTGAGATAAGAGTTTAAAGATGTTAAGCCTCTGCAGATCTATCTTGAGTCAAAATATGATTCAGTCTTTGTTGAGCTCTCAAAAATAAAGCATCCAAAATATTGGCCACGTAGGAACATCTGGGCACACATGCATAAACCACTATTAAATATTTTGGATTATTAATTCCTAATACTCCCACATTAATTTTAATTCCTAATTTCTAATACTCCCTCAAAATTTTATTTCTTGGCTGGCCTTTTCCCCAGTTAGTGCACCGTGGTTTTTTAGTGCTGCATGGAGCTAAATATTGCCCAGGGAAGCTGTGGATGCCCTATTCTTGGAGTGTTCAAGGCCAGGTTGGATGAGGCTTTGAGCAGCCTGGTGTAGTAAAATCTGTCCCTGTCCCTGGCAGAGGGTTTGGAACTAGATGGTCTTTGAGGTCCTTTCCAAGCCAAAGCATCCTGTGAGCCTATGATTTTAAACTACAGACCCCACACCTACCAGTGAAGTCCACATCGACAGAACCTTATACTCCCACAGAGGTTAAGGCAGGACATTTATATCTAAATATAGTAAACCCCTCACAGAAAGTTTTAAAGGACTATAATGGCCTTCACACAAGTTGTCCTCTACCTGAGGAGACTGTAACTTAGCTGGAGAACAGCTGCCAAAACCATGTAATTCCAGTTAAGAGATGCAGACTGAGGCTAAGGAGGCTAACAATAATTAAAAATATATACGTTCACAGAAAAAAAAAAAAGCCAAAACCCCACCATCTTCACCAAACAAGTTCATTCAGCTTTTTGACTATCTTAATCAACCTACAGCATTGATCACTACCTGATTTTACAAACAAATTTAATGCCATATTTGGTAGAAATAGTAAGTATCACAGTGAACATTAAATTGCTTTCTATTTTACTTTTTTAGGAGAACTAGTATGTAACCTTATGGTCAGCCAGAATTCATTACAGAAAATAAGACCCAGGCTTAGACTGAAGATTTTAAAGTTTGTTTGTTTTTTTTTACTTAATGAGCTTTGAACTAGACTCTAAACATACCATTAAAGATATCTTAGCTGTAACAACTAACTTAACCTTTGGTTTCTTCTCAATTTTTCTATTTCACATCTACCCACAGGGTTCTGTTCCAATCATGCAGTCAAACATAGCCATAAACACGTATTCATAAAAGAGACTTATTTTTAATTCATAAACCTTGTGGATACAGCAGTAATTTCCACAAAACACAGTCAGCTGCACTAACATGAGATGTCTCACATGCTGTTAAAATTCTTAAGAAGAAAAAATTACTGCGTTCTAATGAGGACTGTTTCTCTTGCACTCAATCTCTCAAGACAGGTGTGTTATATTTTGGTGCACTTCAAACCAAAGAATTAAAAGATAGCAGAAAACTTTAGAAGCAATGCAAGTTGCTACTTTGGGAGACACTGCAAAGCAATGGTTTTGAAAAACCTAATCAGATTTTCAGAAGAATACACAAGGTTCATGATGCATTTTTGTGCTTGCCACATACCTTTCATCTTTGCTTTAACAAGAAAGTGTACAGAGACTATCCACTGTCTTGAAGAGTGTCTTTATTCTCTTTAACTCAATGGAAGATGTAAAAATTAAACTCTTTCTGTTCAAATAATTAATTTTTATCTGGTATAGCTGTCTAGACTAATAATGCTCATTATGTAGTGCACTGTATAAATCTTATTACATACTCCAAAAAGAATATTACCAATTTTTAGCATTGCTTAAAAATCTGTATTTTGTGTAATTATAAAATTCTTGAAAGTAGTAGGTGGCATTTAATTATTTATTTATCGGTATTTAAATTGGCTCATCCTGTAGTTTTTGGGTGTCCAATCACATTGTATTTATTTGTGCTGGAATTCTGCACTCACTTGCCAATACAGTAAAAGGGTGGAATGCTTCACAATGATCCCAGCAATAACTCTGAAAAACAACCACTTCTTCAATGCAAATCCGCTCAAGAAAAGCTTCTACACACAAAGTACGATGAACCAGTTACTGCATTGTTTACTAAGTTTCACTTGATTCCTCCTGACAACCATTTAAACAATGAATGTTGGGAAATGTCTCTCAAAGAATCAACAATAATGGCTGGGATCAGAGCTTTTATATCCAGCTAATACTGTTTTTAGAAAGGAGAAAATATTTCTTCCTGAAGGGATTATAAGGAGTGTTACAAAAGACACCTGCAAACAAAACAAGTGACAAAAGATCTCTATCATAACTGATAACAGTTATCCTTTGTAAAAATCTCTGCTTCATCAGATGTAAATATATCCTTGCTCTTGAATATCAAAAGCATCCACTAAGCAAGAAGCCTGCCAATCAAGAAGAGCAAATTTTAGAAAACCTGCCAAGAAGAAAGTATTTTTTCTTATGGATAGCAGTGCATTATTAATCAACAGTAAGATCCTAAACTTTCTTTTCTGATGCCAAATAGAGCAGGCAAGCTTTGAAACATAGCGTCTTTTTAATAATGTACTGGACTTGTAAAATTTACTTTGTTTTTTTGGAAAGCAGAAACTTTTCACTTAAAAAACAAACTCCAGAATTTGACAAATAATTCAATAGCCAATTTAAAAAAAAAACAACATAAATTAATCAAGATGAAGGAAAATGTTTATCAAATGTGGTTTACAGTAGGAGCTTGAAAGAAGGAAATAATCACATCTAGAGAAGCAGCCTTCACTCTTGCATTCCAGACCAGTTCCGTTTTGGAAAGCACACACTGCCTGGAGGATCTATACACTGGTCAATAACTGGGTTTTCCAGTGTGGTGGTAGATGATTCAGTCCTCTGTACCATGTGCCATGCACACAGGGTAGACTCTCTCAGCTTTCTTTTGAAGCAGATCAGTGTGCTCTGTCAAAAGTAAGACAGTGCAGTTCTCAAGACAGTTTGCTTCAGGGTCTGCTCCCAAAAGGAAGTATGGACAAGATCACACCAATTGTGGCCCCCTCTGCTTTTGCAGACTTCTGTAATATATTCCCAGCAAATTTTGCATCCTCAGACAACCTCACATGCCTTTAAACCACACGTCAGGGCATGCAAAACACCCACTCAGTTTCTTGCTATAAAACCACCATGCAAGTAGTCTTGCAACACAACTCTCACATTATTACTGTAAATGCACAGAACTAGAGAAAAGGGTTAATGACAGAGGTTTTTCTCAGGACCACAGGACCCAGAGGATGCTCTGGCCATGAGCAGTACACAGTATGAAGACACAGAGTGCAGTTTGCTGTAAAGGGGGGACACATTTACATATAAACCCCTCTGGCCCAATGGACAAGCGCACTGTGCAGGACAGATGGGTTTGACTTTGTGCATGCAAACTATGTGTATGCTAAGAGAAGAGGATAAGGACTGCAGGACAAACTGAACTTCCAGTCAAAAAAAAAAGGCACACATGATAGTCTCAAGACAGCTGAAATAAAGTAAGATATTCTGTCTAACAAGACAGTTAACGAGACTGAAGTAGACTTGGAATCTGTACAAACAGTAAAAAATGAAATTTTTTATGGAAAGACCATATTACACTTTGAAGAGGAATTTAAATTAATTTAAATTAAATTAAGTGGCCATGAATTAAAAATCCTAATATTCACTGTAAGCAACTCCCTAACTCACAAAAAAAAAAAAGTTGCTGTAATTGATAGGTAAAATACACCACATTCCCTTCTTCCCCAAAACAATACTTTAAAGTGGCACTGTAAAAATCTGAAAAATAAAACACACACTTTAATTTCAGCTATTTCACTAAACTATAAAAAACACTTTATCTTAATAGGTGTTTTTACTTGTTAGAATAATTTATTTTCCTATTTTCAGGAGTTCAGCAAGAACATGATTAAACTGCTCAATCTGAAATGTCTTTGGTTTATTTTTAAATAAGTCAAAACAGGGTTTAGATCCTGAGTAAATTATCTTTAAGAGTCAAAGCAAAGCTAGCAATAGCACTTTAAGAAAAATTTCTGACCTCAGCATGACAGGTGTGATCCCCTAAGTGGATCCAGATAATCCACTAAGTCTTTTTTTATCTAGCCTCCACAATTCTGTGTATTCTATGAATCATGTTATTTTCATACAGTACGATCACTCCTTTTCAGATTTATCCTCCTACAATTTTTTATGAGAAAGATTAATAGCAAGTGCAACAGAAAAATTACCTTGATGTCATATATAATCCTTTATCATTTCATCATCATCAAAATCTCAATGCTTTGTCCATCTTTCTTTTCTGCAGCAACTTATTTCACTTGTTCCTATTAAGGCTATTATATTCACCCTATTACTACTAATCTTTTCTTTGTAAATAGCCACACCTATTTTAATCCGAAATGGTGTGGTAAGCATTTGATTCTTTGTGGAAGTAGACATGTAATTAGGTTAATCTGCGCTATCTTTTCATGTGAGTTGATTGTTTCTTTACTATGGACATATTTCTTATAACAGCAATAAGCTTGCCAGATTGCTTGGAGGCAAATCAGGAGCAATTTACCAAGCATGTAGCTACTATGAGCTGAAATCTTGACATAATAGCAAGCTGTGTATAGCCACTCCTACCTGCCAGTTATTACTCATGTTAGCTTTTTACTGACACGTTAAATTTCAACCGCACCTTTCTTTCATAAACAAGTACTTTCATTCAACTCAGTTACATCTGTGACAAATAGCTGATCTTCAGCAAAGCATACAGGAATCTAAATGCAGAATGCAGTGCAGAAGTCTTTGACAGCAGCAGCTGAATTACCTGTACGAAGTCCAAGAACGTCAATGGAAGCAAGTCATCCAAGTGGCCAATATCTTTGGAGAAACGATTTAAGATTCTTCCTATAGAAACAGGGTTGAGAAGAAAAACACAAGGGAAGTGAATATAATTCCTGCAAAGATCCATGTTTTACCATTTCAAAAACAATTAAAAGGAAACAGCTGGACTCAAAAAACAGAAAGACAGTTTTGGTAACCCCCATGAAGGGACTCTTCTACAACCACTGCAATATATTTTGAAGAATTTCTTCGACAAATACCTTCTACCCAAATATAAAACCTTTACTTAAATGGGCTCTGAAGATAATATTTCAACAGAATTTAACAGGTGAAACACACATGTTTTATATGCTTAACATGTGCAGGTAAAGGTTTACAGTTCAGACAACTTAATGCAAGTTTCATCAAGCAACATCAGCCAGAATCTGCTCCTATCCTTGACTGAAACTCACTAGTGCATGCATGTCTCAGATAAATCATAGCTGATCTAACTGATCTTTTTTTAGCATTTCTGTTCTCACCCCTCAACATTATACATGGACTCAAATTGCAGGCATTTCTAAAATAAAATCTAAGATAGATTTGCATTCATGTAGCCCTACATTTATACTTATTCAAAACCTTGACAATACTGATCTTTATTAAAGCTAATAAAATGATTTTTAGTCTGCTGTCAGTGAAGCATTTACATTTCTCTATTTTCCCAGGTTCTACTTGAGTGAAAAAAATCAGTTATATCAAGACTTCTTCAATAATTAAAGTCACAGCACTGCCACCCGTAAGTGGATTAGTATCTTTCTCTATTAATCAGTATCTCTACTCACCAGGAAAGAAACGAAACCAGGGGTGGGAATCTGGCCATTTCTAAGGTGTGTGATGCCCATACATGCATTCACATTGCTTTGTTATCTGCATATATCTTGATTCAATTATACTTTTAACTGGTACAAACATATTCACTGCACTGGCAACAAAAGACTTTTTTTATTTCTTTTCAAAGGAGCTCATTAAACTGAAAGCGAGTTTAAAGTTTCCACAGAGTGCGCTGCAGACGTAATTTAGAGATAAGAGACACTGAAGTAACTTCTGTAGCAACCATCATGCTAGTTTTCTGCTCACAGCTCTTTTTCATTATTTTTTTTTTTTTTTAAAGGGAATTTCTGTTCTACACTAAACAATACAGAAAACAACCTCTCCTTAGGTCTGGAACGTGACTCTGAAGAAAGATACTGGTGGCAAAGAGCTTGCTCCGCAATACTTCACTACCCAATGCAGTTACTTCAGGCAGCCAAGAGAAGAATTCATCCTTTTTAGACTTTGCACACAGAGAGGAAGGGTATACAGCAACACAAGACTCAGAAAAATCTCTTTCATCTTTTTCTACTGGGATTAGCATGTGGGGATGTTCCCTTTTACTTATATCAGGGTAGATACATCAGAAGGAAGTCCAAGGCAATTTTTTAAAAAACTTTCTTTTTCCCATGATTTTCTTACATAGAGACTGGTCACAGAAGAGTGACCAAGCACATGCTGCATACATGCTGTCACGAAAGCTTCCTAATATTCTAAAGTATCACATTCTAGGTTATTTTCACTGGCAAAAAGAAAATCTTTCAAAGAGGTTAAATGCTTCCTGTTGATAGAGCTTTCCTCAGCAGCATGTCCAGGGAGGGGAGATAAGGGAAACTAAGTGGAATAACAGACTGGGCTCAGGGTATTAGAAATCTGTTCACAGATTTGTCACCTGTCTTCTTGATGCCTTAAGTTTTAGCTTTCATATTTTCCAGATTCTGTATTGCATTAGTATGTAAGTCTGAACTTCATATAGAGTATTAGCAAGTTCTCTTCACAGTTTAGTTAGACAACACAGTCCTTTTCCAGCCCTAGAACCAAGGGCACCATTGCAGCTTCAGGACCCAAAAAGTATAAACAACAGTGAACTGAGGAGAGCAAATCGGGAGGATGGGACATCATAACCTCAAGCTGTAATTGGACAATTAACCCCAGTATGTAAATGGACCAAAACTTTAAAAAGTGTGAAAACTGGTGACCAGGTGTCCATCTTGGACAGAGCCATGGCTGGGCTCTTGTACTGCCCTAGGTATATCCTTTTAAGGCCTTTTAATAAATAACCTATTTTATTCCTTCAACTCTGTCCAGCCTCTGTTCTAGGCAGGCTCTCAAGGCATCCTTCTGAGGAACTTCACTTTATTTTACAGAGCACGGAGCACAGCAAGGGGAGGTGACAGTGCTAAGCCCCTCCATGAAAAGCTGTGAGACCCACCAATGACAAGCTGTACATAAGGGCAAAGGATTATTCCCATAGCAAGCAAACCCCACCTTAACTCAGCCTAAGAATCACCCTTTGCCTTTTAACCCCAAGTCAGTTTTATTTGTAGTGGTTTCAGACTTACATAAGGAGTTGTTGCGCAAAGGCCATCCCACGTGACACTGCCAGGAGGCAGCAAGGTCACTGGGGCTGGCTATTTTTCCATGGCCACAGCAAGGTCAGCCCAACGCTGGCACCTCCAGCAACCCAGCAACACCTGCACATCAGGAGTGACTGTGGCCTTCCTCCTCTTCCAGAAGTGTTCTGAGCAACGTGGTCATGACAGGAAACTTAGCTTGCCCAGGCCGTCTCAAGCAATCCCTGGTTTCACTTCACATTACCACCAACAGCTCCAGTTCCCAGAGGTGATCATGACACTAATTAATTGCCAAAACTGCATTTTTTTTGCAACTGCCTTATGAAATTGTTAAGTATAACAATGTTTCTACAGCCTCTGTTTTGACAGTTCTGTGAGCTGCCACTAGGGAAGTGGAAATTAATCTGATGTTATCAATAAAACATGAAAACATCTTTTAATCTGCCTAATCCTCTTTAAAATGTAAATACAGTAATTCTGTAAAATGACATTGACTAAAATTTGAGTGAGCAAAAGAAATGGTATATGAAAAAGACAAATCTTGAAAACTGGAACCTTCCACAGTCCACCTAACATAATTAAACAGTGGCAACACGAACCAGTTGTTTCCCAAATAAACATTGAAGCCAATCTCTGATAGCAGAGCTTCACTGATTTTGAATTTTCAAATTAAAAAAAAAAATTAGTCTATTTAGTGTTTGCACATAGAAATTCTGGAAAATGACACCTGAAGTCATTAAGACGAGGAAAATCTTTTGCTTATTGCTAAGAGGTCTGTATCTCCCTCCTGTACTATTTATCTGGTGACCACTAATGCTTTTCAACAGCTAAAGGCAAGCAACAAACCCACAAGCCTTAGCCTCATTTTTGTCATTGCTGTTTTTCAATCCTATTACCTCAGAGACAGTAGAAGAGAAAATACAAGTCTGGAGATGTATTTCAGGTCCTGTTCACACGGATGTAACTGAACTGGCATTTTATACAGCACACCCTACACAGAAGAAAGCTACAGTAACCCACTAAAGCAAGTTCCTTCACCATATAGCAGGGACAGCAATGCACCTCCGAGCAGGAGTGTTATGCTTTGGAAATATCCACAAGATGCCCCACAGTATTGCATATTCAATTACAGTATTGCATTCAAAGCAATTGCTTCATTTATAAGGATATCTACAAGTACAAGAGGTCTATTTCACAAGGTATGAAGAAACAACTGTTTCCACTTACTGGAAGCACAGTAAATCAGTGACTTACTTATGCCTTATTAAGCATGCAAGAGAAAACATTCCAGATTTAAAAGTTAAAGTACCTATTTGAAGTCAGGTCTCAAAATGCTTACACTTATGACTACAGCTCCTACCAGAATTTGCAAACCTAACTTTTGAGAATGGTTCTTCTTTTGAGAATGGAAACTGTTGCACCTGCTATTCATGAAGGGCAGGAGCTGAACCACTTACCTGCCCTCTCACCCTGAAAATTATGATTTCTCTTCCAAACCTTAAAATTCCTCTCTCCTAAACTAACAGACTATCAACATTACCGTGCCACCATAGTTCATATTTCCAAAAACCCCAAACTCCTAGAGTAAGCATCTCTGAGATACATATAAATGCCCAGTGTCCCATCTATAACAATAATTTTTAGATCAGTCCAGTATATCCAATTCACAAAAATTTTTAAGCTTTCTTAATACCTACATCCTTTACTTATCCCAGCGAGGGGCTACAAAAGCAAAAGGAAAATACTACACTTAAAACTTTTAAGTCAAATTTCACCAAACCACTAACGAAAAAAAGTCTGTTAAGAAATCAAGGATTAAGTATGCCAGTATTACAACAGCATCCAAACTGGTGAATAGTATCTGCTAATTCAATCACTCAGGCTTCCACGTGGTGTGTACTGTTAGTAGCAAGCTGCAAAAGGGGACGTGCTCTCTTCAGCAGTCTTATGTTTGTTTTTACATCAAATAACTTAATCAGAACACACACTGTTGTTAGATTTCTTCCGAAGTAATTAAATAACTATTCAATGCCAATTAATCACTGTTAAATAAGGGTCTGTCACCAAAGTGCTATGTACACATTTCAGACTATTTAATGGTCAAATACTTGGCAGTATCAAAGTTAAACAATGATTCATTAAACCTCCTCCCCTACACAATAGTTAGGCTAAACTTGAAGTGAAAGAATCAAAACTCTTTTGTCCTCCATGAAAAAGACATCAAACCTCAGTATGTGATATTCTTTTCTTCCTTGCTCTGTAAACTGCTTTAATTGCACAAATCAGAATGTGTTCAGGTGCTACAAACCCACTTTGCTTCTGCAGGTGCCTACTGATACTCTGGAATAGATGTTCAAACCTATCATACAAATAATGAAAACACTCGACTGTGCCACACCTTTTTAAAATGTTTATACATACTTTATCATGAAAGAAATATAATCCAAACTGAATCAACACTCAAGATGTAAACACCAGAAAAGGATTTTTTTTTTTTTAAAACAAGAAACTAGGATCCTCCACTGGAATAGCCAAATGCCATCCACAGTAATCAGTGTTGTGCAACCTAAATTCCAACGACCATAAGAGCAAGAGTACATTATTTCTAAATGTATTTGGCACTTCTAGTATACTTTG